ATTATATAGCTATCGCTATACAATATAAAGTAATTTTCTAAAATACATAATAAGTAAACAAATTCTTAGCCTTAACATTGTATAAAGAAACGTATAGCCAAAGCCTGTTTGAGCATCGTTTCGAGAACAAAATTGTTAAAGAATCCTGCTCTAGTCTAGTACGATAGAAAGTGGTATAAGTGGGCGGGTCTTATCATGAGCGCACACTGATGATTGGCTAGCTGTCAGGTCAATTAACAGTGAAGTTTCTTTAAATACAATGTTAATTGTTTTGTATTGTAGTCTGCATGCTCCTTTCGCTATACAATGATTCTTTATGTGACGTTTCTTTATACAAGTTTCATATGAATTTCAGCCAGTCTGAACACGCTATATAAGATCTACATGAAGATGGCTGCATCCTGCACGTATGAGATGCGTCTGTTTGATAAAACAATTGAAAGTTCAGCTTTTCCTCAGACTCTGAAGCGATACACCTGTATGACTCATATATGATCAGGCATGAGTAATATGCAGATTTGAGAATCTTTCCAATAATCAGCACTCATCCTCCGATACCAAGGTATTATAATATATCTGGTTCATCTTTACTGCATGGCTAGAGACTGGTAATATTATCATATAACCAGGAACATGAATTATAACAATACAGATCTGTACAACCTAATGTACACCATTTGTAATTGTAAAGAAGTACCAATATTAGATAATAGACTAACATTGTTTATGCTTGCTTTACATACACAGAATGCTGATTCTAAGCTTCTATGTATTACATTGTAGCATTAGTTGTTCCAGACAATGAATGTATGTAAGCCTTAGATTACTCTTTTTAGTAACGTATCATTCTGTATCCTTCTGATCGCATTGTAAAAAGCATGCATCATAAAGCAGCCAATCTTCCGTGCACTTTGTAACATTATACTGCATAGAAAACTGCGGACGATCTTTTCCTAAGCAGTTGTTGCAAGGTGCCAAAGTACAGAGTCTGTGTCATTTTAATCCAAGTTTCCATTCTTTTGCCAATTGTGCACTGCGATTGGAAAAAAAAGAGAAAGGATTTTATTTTGCTTTGTGAAGATGGTGTGTTGGTTTGAGTTCTATCCCATGGATTAATCAGTAGGCATAGAGCAGAGTCGCTTCAATGATTAGGAAGATAAATAGTCCAGTCAGATAGCCAATCAACCATCCCCATCTCATTGGAGCCTATTTAATGAAGCAAGGAAGACGTATGGTTGAACACAATGACCAGACCAAGCTCATGCCTATCAATATGGATATCGTCAATGGGTTCAAATGCTGGGATTTCAGAAGGAGAGTATGCTAAAATGGAGTGAATTATTCACCGAAACCACCATATCAATTTCAGCAAGCCTTGGCTAATGAACCAAGTGCATTATGAGCCCTACTTGATGACCAGATATGATGCATAACAATGATCCAATTAGAAGTGGGTCAGTCAACGTGTGTACAAAATTATTGAAGATAGGGTGCGTTTATTGACCAAATTTTTGCCTAGAATCAGGTTTCTCAAACGTCTTTCAGGCAATTGTTGAAGGTGATAAACGCAAAGCCTTTTTTAAACGTCTTTAGATATGGGCATATCTGAAGACGCAAGAAGTTGTGTTTTGAATGTGACATACAGCCAGAATCACGATTCTGAGACATGATAAACGTTTTGAGCCCCACATGCAAATCGGACCTTCCCCGGCTAATTTCCGGTTCAGAAAAATAGTGCGCACCATGTGCTATGCCCTAGTTGACCTCCGAGCAACTCTCTGCTCTCTGCGGGTCAAACGGCGCAAAGCAGCTGCGCAGAGACAAGGCCTTTTTTTTTAATCGTGAAGAGACGATAAACGCGACATCCCGAAAATCACATTCGTATAGTGGGGTTCGATATGTACATATCTAGTGGCAAGACCCGATAAACGCACCCATAGACAGGAAGAAAGAAGAGGCTAATAGAAGGAAAAGATAAACACATATATTATCTACACAGTATTCATGTGTTACTGAAAGTGATATGATTCAGTAGCAAAATTGTGAAATAGCAAGAAACCTCCTAATCTCTCAATTTTTATTTGCTGCCAAATGAAATGTCACATCCCTCTTATTTGGAACATTTGTGGAAGTTGTATAGTTTTGAGGGGATAGAAATGACACACATGATATCCTCTGTAAATCATGACAAATCTTTAAATGTTAGCCTAGTTATCCCACAACATCATGATCATGTTACGTTACTGATGGTTATCACTTTGGTTATCTGATTGTATTTTTGGGATGTTAACTTGTGATGTTGGAAATTAAGAATGCTTTACTTGACATTCTTGGCAAGATTTTGTTTGTGGAGGCTTTGGCACTGACTTTTCCTTTCTCAAAAATTCATTAAGCAAATTGCAGGACAAACATTTCATTACCATGTTAATAACAGTATATCTCTAGATCAGAAATAAGAATCGAATCCTTGGTCGAAACTATTTTTTTCTCAAATCTAAGTATAGATCGATCGTGATCATTCCTTCCTTCCCAAGCTTATTAATCAGGTCAAGAAAAAAAACCCCACGACAAACAAACAATTCAACCTCATTGAAGAAACAGAGACAAAAATAGAACTGATTAAATTATCTCCCAGATCTCTTTTCCTTGAAATAATCCATATACTCTTCATATCCTGCATAAACTAGATGATCAAGGATTTCTGATTTACTCTGTAAGCCCTTTTTTTAATGAATATATTTTTTCAATCGCATTTATATAATTATACCGGTATATATAAGAAAATTATAAATTACAAATGATTCCCAATTTTAGAGTTTTTCCATTGTGTCACATTATTTGCTATCATGTCATTTAGTGAAATTAATTTACATAATTAGTTTTCATGCCTTTGAAATATTTTGTGAACAAATCTAACTTTAATAAGTTGAACTTCCACTTCTGTAATGCAATAAGTTTTTACATTAGCTGTTGTTTGCTCCTTGGAATAATTCCTTGGTTGCTCCAGGATGTAGTGGGCTATCAGACCGCTCGTCTTGTCCTGTTCTTCTGCATTTTTTAAATGAACCCTGCTTGTTTTTGTATAGGTAGGAGTACTCTATCTATGTAAAGCTTCCATGGCTCCCTTTTGGAGAAATACGCTAACTTGCCCGCATTCCTTGCTTCTTTCAGAGTTTCCATTTGTTGTTTTCTCTGTTGGCGCATTCGAATTGGCAGATCCTGCGTGATATATATCTTAGTGCCTTTCAGATTTTTTTTCAAGACAAGCTTTTTTTGTTGTTGTATTTTTGTTTTTATAGAAATTAAAACTCAACAATATCGCATTACAATAACATATCAATACAGTATTTTTGATTTGATTTTATTTTATTCAGACAATATAAAAATATATACATGTCTTGGGTTACAAAACAAGGTTTAGAAAAACCCATACAAGTTTGCATCTCAGATATGGACAGTAAAATGGCATACATAATTACACAATAAATACTGATACATAAAATATCGAAGTATGACATAGGTTATAGTTCAATATAAATACAACAACAGAAATACAAGTTAGAAATTGCAAGACACTTCTATTTCAAAAATCTAGATTGAGATGTTTTACCAGAGCCGATTTAAAGGTATTTAGCGATTGACTGTTTACTACTGTTTGTGGGAGTTGACTGATTCCATTCATTAATTGTTTGGGGATAAAAGGATTTCATATAATAGTCTGTTCTGGCATATGGAACGTGCATCTTAAAAGTATTATCATTTCTTCCTATTCTGTTCGCTCGTGTGCACCTATTTACTTCTCCTACATTAATCAAGTTATTTACAATCTTATAGTAAAAAACAAGTCTATGGTACTTTCGTCTATTTTCTAATAAATTCATTTTGACATTTTGTAATAACACGTTATAACTCGTAGACCAATCCTTACACATCATCCTTACGTAACGTTTTTGAATACGTTCAATCCTCTCTTTGTGTGTGTTTCTATAGGGATCCCATGCTGTACAACAATATTCTAAACGTGAGCGAATTAGTGATTCAAAAAGACTTTTTAAAATAGACTTTGGACAATTAACAAAATTCCATCTTATAATTCCCATGATCCTGTTACATTTTGTATATAAGTCAGTGCAATGGTCGTTCCAGTTTAAAGAATCATTTATTACAAGACCTAAATATTTTTCAGACTTTACATTTGTTAACTCCTGTCCATTGAGAGAATAATTATATGTTATATCGTGAAGCTTTCGAGACATTTTCATAGTTTTACACTTTGATACATTAAAGTCGAGCATCCATGTTTCAGACCATTTACTTAAAACTTCTAAATCATTTTGTAATATCTTGCAATCATCTAAATTGAAAATTGGACGGTACAATATACAATCGTCCGCATATAATCGAATAGTTGATGAAATATTATTAGGCATATCTTTAATGAAACATAAAAACAATATCGGGCCTAAAATTGTTCCTTGCGGAACGCCTGATTTAACTTTGATCCATGAAGAACATTCGCCATTTATAACCACCCTTTGATATCTATTCTGTAAAAAATTCATTATCCATTCTAAATTTTGAGATCTTACACCATACAGTATGGATGTATACAGAACACGGTACAACACAGGACAACACAACATAAAACAGCACAACACAATTGCCTCATTCTAGTCAGTTACATTTGTACCTGCATTTTTCAAGACAAGTTCTCTGTCAGTGTAATAAACAAATCAAGCCTTTATTGGTCTCGGCCTTATAGCAGCCGCAATGCGATGAACTCTTTGGTATTTTATTCCTTCGATCTGGCCGAAGTCTAGCTTAAGATGAGACTTATAAAATTCCTCTAACACCTTGGGCACATTCTCCGCTCCACTATCAGTTCCTGAATTTGTTTAATGTTGACAAAAATAATCACCTCCCACACAGACTTTAGAAAAACAATTGCACTACTAATTAATAATTAAGTTAAACTACTCAACTACCTTTCCCCTTTTCAGAATGAGCGTACCAAGCTGCTGAAACCCTCCAAGAATCATCATCGGCAGTACACGTTGGCTAACCCTTACACTGCCTTGGTGAGAGACAGTGAGAAGGCAGCAGGGAAGGGAGACTCGGATGAGGAGAAGGCCAAAGGAGCGGATACCAAGGACGTTGTGGCGTCGTTGCATGCAGTCATAGAACATCATCGGAAAGCAGAGGAGAGGCTCAAGAACCAAGTTCAGACACTCAAAGCCAGTCATACCAAGGTCAGTTCAGATTTCCTCTTCCTCTTGATCCCCATTACCATTGGTAATGGCTCGTCCACATATATGTATGCAACAGTGAAAGACATCTTTTCTTTTTCTTTGTGGGGTTGAAAAAAAGTAGCTACTCATTTATCTGTATGCTATCAGATACAAAAAATATGAAATGCATTACACTTTGTCACGCTCAACCTACCCATCTCATGAGATAAGATGCATGTTGATATGCAGATTTGGATGGAGAAGTTTGTGAGTGGTTAATTTGGAAGCAAAATGTAATTTTTTTATGGTTTTCTTTTTGTTGTGTGTTCTAGGCTGTGAATGAACTTGAGGATGAGAAGAGGAGACATGCCCAGGACACTGCACAAGGAGATGATGTCACATACATGTTGGAAAAGGAGAGGGAAAGACTCATGCAACAGGTAAAGAACAGAACACTAACAAAATCCACTTAATATGTATCAATTTAATTTTACTTTTTCACTTATTGCGAATCCCACATTAAGTTATAGGGTGTCTCTGAAGGAGTTCCACCGTTACGTGCATGTCAAAATTAATGTAAGATAAGTGATAACCAATGACAAAGAAAACAGAAAAAATGGTTTTGAAAGTGTTGATACAAGGGTGATATGCTTCCCCATATACGTATTACAGGTACTTTCATATGTTACAGCTTATCCTGCCTTATGCGTGCATTGGAGTACTTGTGACACAGTGTACTATAATTTGATTTAAGGGAAAGAAACCTTGAAGTGCATTTATAAGCCAGTGGTTCTTGTTCAAGAAACATGGTCACCTACATTTGGTATTTGAACCTAGTTTTATGTTTACAGTCATTAGGGTAAAACTTCAAATGCTGGTCTTATTTTAACATGTTCCACTAGTACAAGCCAGTTTACACTCTTTATTTGTATTTATTTGTTTATTTATTTGTTTATTTATTTTTTATTCTTTTATTTTTTATTTATTTATTTTATATATATATATATATATATATATATATATATTTTTTTTTTGGGGGGGGGGGAGGAGAGGGATGTATTAAGGGTAATAAAAATCATAAAAAATCAAGGCAAGTAAATATTAGACTGAGGCTTATATGTTCCTCGCCAATACTACACAATCCCTGTAAATAGTAAATTGTGGCCGACAGGTTTGTAGGCGTTATTGTGCGTAGAAGTCCCGTGATTGAGAAAGGAGGGCTGCCTTTAAAGAGGTCGGTCAATTGACTGATCATTTCGCACAAAACCTTTCTACAAACATCTGCACTCCAAATCCATTCCCCAGGCATATTTTCTATATTTCTGCCTACCTCCAGCTCACCCTCTCCCTCCCTCCCTCCCTCTCTCCCTCCCTCTCTCCCTCCCTCCCTCCCTCTCTCCCTCCCTCTCGCTCACACACACACTCACCTCACCCTCTTTCTGTCCCAACCTCTCTCTGAAACCTGAGTTGATGCAAAGATCATTGCATCCATCATTATTAACTGGTCAAACCTTTGAGACAGCTTCACACCAAACCCATATTTGTATTTTAAATTCAGTGCTTTGATTTGTTTCCTGAGAGTTTTAAAAAAACTCAGTGTTAGAATCATATTGAAGGGGGGGGGGGGGTATTGAGGTAACAGTGGTACTAATATTAGGAACTAGTGTAAGTGAAATAAAGACAAAGTGAGAAAATTAAACATCATATAATCATGATATCGCCTGTTAACACATCTGATATCATCTGGAAGATATTGTAAGTTACCATAAATTTAATTAGAAGCAATTCATTCCAGTATGTAAAGCCAACAAAATTTGTACTATTTTGAAATTTCAGAAAGTTAACAAATGGATGTGCCTCTGTTTTCTGAATGATAATTTGCTTGATATTTAAAATTAGTTTGAGAACTTATACAATCAACCACTATATGCCGCATGCACACAGATTGTAGAAAGAAAGAAAAGAAAAAGAAATAAACTTCCCATACATGTACGGATGTACCCACCCTCGACATGTATTTTTTCTCCGTCATTTTTTTCTTCTTCTTCTTCATTTCATCTTGTGTTCTCCCTCTAGCATTTCCCCATATGCTCATTTTCATTTACGCAGTATCTTTCCCTACTTTCTTTAATATACATATACATCTGAGTCGTACATGTAGGTAATGTGAGCAAGTTGTGCGTTTAATCTTGTTAAAAAATGTAGAATTGTATTGAGTTGGAAAATTTGAACTTGTTTCCCAGGCTTAATATAAAGGCTTGCTAGGGTCAGTTATTGTGAGGTTACCCACCCTGATTGCCCCAGGCCATTGCTGCACGGTCCTGCACCGTTTTGTTATGAAGCCATCATGATGGACAGTCTATCAGGACACAAGTACAATCAACTTTTGATAGCCGTCCGTGGACATCAAATGCCAGGCTTCCCAGCTACCCTGGAACTCAGGGAAAACCTGGAAAATGGGTGTCCTTATTTCTTTCTTTTTCCTTTTTCCAGTATGGAAAAGTCAGGGATTTTTTAGAAATATCACTAAAATCAGGGGGAAATCAGGGATATTTTTTGGTAGAAGAAAAAGATTGTTGGTCTCTTTATGTTTTGTCCCGGGTCTAAATAGCGTAGTCACCGAATGGTTGGCTATGTTTGCTTTTTAGAGTATAACATATTTCTGACAATGCATGCTTCTCTTCTGCTTTAACTTACATGTAAGCGCCTACAACATACAACACTGCTTACTGAAGACATTTCAAACTGGAAATCAGTTGAAAGATTGATTCTTGAATTTTGAAGCTTGAATTTTGAAGCTCCATCAGGGAAAAGCTAGAGGAAATTCAGAGAAAAATCAGAGAATTTAATTTTTATAAAATGCTGGGCAACCTGAAAGGCTTGATCCAGGGACTTCTAGGATGTGGTTTTAAAAAAATGAACAGGTTTGAAGGTAGAAATATACAAAAAAATGATAGTATGGAAAAGGAGAACCTGTACTAGTAAGTACATGTACACGTTAAACAAGGAAATAAAAGGAGATACACAAATGTGGTTATTCCATATGAAGGAAAAGGAGCATTTAATTACTTATTAATCTCGAGAGCATGATGTAAATGTAGGGAAAAGTGAAGCGGGTAGCACTTTGTGAGTAGCCTGGTATAAAGTGCAGGTGCCATTGTCGAAGACAGAAATATCTCCAAAATCAAATTAGAAGCAAACAATATGGTGTTGGGGAATAATTGGATTAATTCTATCAAATTTACTGCAGGCTCTTGTGTTTGTATTTCATGGCTATTAAGCTTATTCAGGGATGTCAAATGCAGTCAGTGACTCAATGAAAACATGTTTACATGTGTGGGCTTGTTGTGAACTGCAATATGGATTTGCATCAGAAGCAGGCACTCGAAACAGGCACTCGATATGAATGTTCAATAACAAGTGTATTTGTATAAAGAGGAGAAGAATTGTAATGGGAAGTAAAAGAATTTTGATGGGGAATATTTGTGTGTGATGGACCATTTTATAAATTTGGGTCGTTGGATATGCATGATTATCAAAATGTAGAAATATCAATATATCAACAAAAAATAGATCTAAGCAGAATATTTTTGAGTCTGGTTTCAAGGAATAGCTTACCATTACATGTACATAGTTTTTCATTACAATGATGCAGAACACTGCAAATGCATTTATAGCAAATTTTATTGGTGGTCTTTTGCCATCGTAATACTGTAGGTTTTTATCATGTATCGTGTTGATGAACAATTGGCCAGGTTCATGGCTTTATTAAATCATATGGTACCCCATAGCAATTCATAGTACAATACATGTGTAATGCATTGAGTATCAGGGCCTGTAGTATATTAAACAGAAATTTTCTTTTGTACAGTAGCCTGTCAGCTCCAAAACATGAGGATTTGGCAGTAGTTTTTTGGTTCCAACAAAATTACCCTTTATTGCTTTCAGAAGTGATTTACATCCAGAAAATATTTATTGTATACCGGTATTTGTAAATCTATTTCTGAATTCAAGCTGGAAATGGAAATTGTATTCTAAAGTTTTACTGATCTGTAAAAGATAGGTACATAGGAAATAGCATACAGCCATACACATGATATCCCCATGTTGTTAATAATATCATGTCTATAAATTAATTCATGATATGAGCCCACAATACATTATGGGATTTTATATTGTAAATTAAAGCTAAGTCAAGAACCAGACAATATTACTAAAGAGCTCCGCTACTAATGAAGGTATTTGTTATCAATCAAAAGATTTTTTTGGTAACATAAAATACGGTAATTACATTTATGCAGTAAGCTTTAAAAATTCCCTTCAATTCATTATTGATCTTTTCAAGAGAATGATAATTACATTACAGCCATGAATGCTTGCAATTTGATTAAGGGTCATTGCAACAATGCCATTGGTGCCTAATACTGTGAGTGAAAGAAAAAAGCTGTGAGTTATTTTAGCATGTCTAGCCAGTACAGTAGCCACCCTCTGATAATGTGTGAAGTTGGCATTGTAAGGGAATGAGTGTAGCAGGTTAAGATGACTGAAAGCCTTTATAAGCTGCTGCTGCATACATCCCATGTGGGGGTGACACGGGTGCACTATGACTCATGCCAAGAGAATCGCTCTTTAAAAAGCATTTTTTTCTCACTCTCTCCTCGCTCCTATTCTCTCCCACTCTCTCTCATCGCACTGCTCTCCCACTCTCTCTCTCCTCACACTGCCCTGCATGGCCAGCTCTCCTCCTGGCTGTAGAAATTAGAATGATGAGGATTAGTGGGAGAATGTAAGATGGCAATTGTGTGAATATTTTCTGTGTCAGGAATGAGCTAGAGGGTTGGAGGAACAGAATGCTTGCATATAGTCTGGTAGATGGTTTTGTAATATTCCAGATAATATTTTGTATTCAACATGCCCTACAGCAAGTATATTTACATCAATATTATATGATACATCAAAATTCAGATTGGTGGTTACGGTATTCTCCATCTTGAGTGTGATGGTTTTGAGAGAAGCTTAAGTTTAGGACCTGAAATCTGTGTGAGGTTCATATGGGTGAATGAAACTCCTCTAGTTGGACAGGTAAAAATGAAGAAGCTAGCTTGTCAGTACAATACTTTGGCAAACAACAATTATGAATATCAGGTGAATATAGGTGCAGAAAAGATTTGTTACCATGGCTTCAAAAATCTATTTTTATGAAATGCACATGCCATATAGCTTCCGATAATGGTTTATTTTCATTGTTTGAAGAATATTAGAATATAATGTGGTTGTGTATTGTATTATGGTTACATAGAGCTTTTGATAATGTCATTACACTTATCTTTTGTGTGTGTTTTATTTGTTTCAGGTGGAATTTGAGAAAGCCCAGCAGAGCAAGCTAGAAAGAGAATGCAAGCGAGGTCAAGGCCGGTTGATCCAGGAACGCAAGAGGCATGCTGAATTCATCAAGCTCATGTTTGACAAGCATTTATTACTAGCACAACAGCTAGGAGACACTCAACAGAGAGCCATGGAATGGGAGACCCAAGCTCAAGCAATGAGAGCTGAAGCACAGAATGCTTCAAAGTTGGCGGCCGAAGAAAGAAACAAAAGTGTCAAAATGGAAGCTGAGATGGAGAAAAAGCTGTCAGATTTTGATATTGAGCGGGAGCAGTTGTTGGGAAGGTTACAGCGAGAGGAAATGAGGACTAGGGAGCTTAGGGAAGAGCTTGAAGCTCTCAAAAAGTCTTCTAAGAAATCGCCAGAATTAGTGAATGGACGAATTGCAAATGGTAGCGAGTTGAACAGCAATGCAAAAGGAAGTTCCTCAAAGAGTATAGTGAGCAGTAGTGACAGTAAGACTTCTAAAGGGAAAGAGACCCCAGGGTCTGTTCGTAAACCAGCTGTATTGAAACCAAAAGCATCAGCTAAAATTTATGGTGCAAAGGGGTACAAGACTCCACCTCAATCTGATAAGTCTGAGGCATCATCATCGTCGTCATCTTCTGAAGATAACAATGTGACTGTTTCCTTGAGCAGGGTACACTCTGTGAGTCCTGCTGTTCCCAGTCCAAAGAGCAATCCGTCTGAAAGTAAGAAACCAAGCATAACCTCAAAGCCGAAGCCTAGTACCACAAACTTTTCCAGAGGGGCAGGCAAGGACAGTAGGCCTCTCAGTCCTGCCTCCAGCCTGGACAAACTATCTGGGAAGGCATCGTCAGCTTCACCTTCTTCAGGGTTGTCTCAGAAAGGAACAAAGATACCCAGCAGCAGTGCCATGTTTGCAAATTCATCACAACTGAGAAAAAGTGCTCCAACAGTAGCGGTTGTCGCTCCACAACCTAGCAAGGCTTCAAATGTAACTCAGGAAGCTAGCAAGCAACAGCAGCACGCAAAGAAATCAATAGACAGTACAGACTCGCCTAAATCTGACAAAAGTGAACCTAAAAGCAACCCTATGTCCAGGCCTACAACCTTAGCTTCGGGAGATACTTCTTTGAAAGCAAAAGAACCTGCTGGAAAAGTCTCTCAGTTGCGTAACACTCTTACATCACCAAAAGACAAAGACACTAGGGATAAATCTCCAACAAGGGGATATGGTGGTATGAATGTGAAAGCAGCCGCAGCTCAACTCACGAGCCCTGTTGGCAAGAAAGTCTTCAATCCAGTTGGAAGCACTCCGAACAAACTCAATTCTTCCACTCCCTCAGAGCCCAGTGGTACGACCCAAACCAAAGAAGCTCCTGCCAGTGTCAGCACTAATGCCGTCTCTGACAAAGTGAAACCTGTGGTGACTTCTCCATCATCCACCACCCCAGGCAAACGCAATGTGTCACCCCGAGGTACTCCTCCACCTATTCCACCTAATAAGCCCTCTCTTATACCTCATAAATCACAGTCTTCTCTTTCCTCGTCTTCTTCTTCTTCTTCTTCTTCTTCTTCTTCTTCTTCTTCTGCTTCGTCTACTGCTTCCCTGTCCAATATGTGCTCAGTTACATCTTCCTCCACCTCTGCTTTATCCAGATCAACAAGTACAACAACATCTTCATCAGCTTTTTCTAAACCAATAGGTACAACTTCTTCATCTACTTTATCTAAACCAATAAGTACAGCATCTTCATCTACTTTATCTAAACCAATAAGTACAACATCTTCATCTACTTTATCTAAACCAATAAGTACAGCATCTTCATCTACTTCCTCTAAACCAACAAGTTCAACCTCTTCTTTTTCTGCTTTATCTAAACACACAACAAATACATCTCCCTCAACTGCCTTTTCAAAAACAACAAGTACACCAACATCTTCATCTGCTTTATCTAAGCAAACAACAAATACATCTCCTTCACCCGCTTTTTCTAAGCCAACATCAACTATAACATCTCCTTCACCTGCCTCTTCCAAATCAACAACACCTACAACATCTTCTTTCTCAAGTCCAACCAACAACTCTCACCCTGAGCCCAGTGGCCCCAAGCCCTCCCCTACCTCCAGCTCCCTGTCCAGCTCCAGGAAATCTGACTCTCTGGTCGAAGCCCGCAAGCAGCTTTTTGCCAATAAACTTGGCAGCGGTGTGGGTATCAGTGCAACTAACCTGCGGCCACCTTTTGAAAGCAGCAACCCCATGCTCATGGTCAATAACTCCAACTCCAATAGCCTGGAGTCCCTTAACGAAAAGACCTCATCGTCCTTGGGGACAGGAAGCTCCATCCAGGGAAAGGCTGCTGCGCAGGTGGGTCACCAGACTATAGAATTGAGCATGCCCAGACTGGTCCTCATGTTAGTCAGCCACAGTGCTCTGCCGTCAGTTGTTTCTTGTGCAGAAAAATGCTAACACCCCTTATCCCAGATTGCCAACTGCCCTTTGCTTTTGATTTATATTCAGTTTGATCCTCTTTGCTTCCTGTTCATTCCTAACTCCTCAAACTAATCCCACATTCAGCACTTCATTGCGACAGTTTTTGAGCCACTTACCAAGGTAGTATCTTCTGCTGTTTGTAGTTCAGACTAACATTGTTCTGATTTGATAGTTATCACTGATTAGACGTTTGCCATCAGATTCTTGTAGCAGAATATTATATAAGCATGGTAGATTCTCAGCTGTATTGAGGCATGTGCAGTTGTAGATGGTTAACAAGAGATCTAATTGAACCATCTAATTAGAAGATCATCCACATGCTCTCCGTTTCTGCTTCATGATAGAAACATTTAAAATGATATTGTTGTGGTACCTGAAATTCTCAACAGTAGATTCACATTTTGGTCACATCTAGTTTCTATAATCAATAGCAAACAGCCAATGAATACTAAGTGCTCATGAAAAGTTATAATCAACAAGCAGTACATCTTACCCCTACTGTTATCTAGAATGGCCACTTTCTCAGTCATCTCGTCACAGGACAACAGCTTTTTTTCAGCAATCAGTTTTATTTTGATTTGATCTCATCAATCTCATTCTCTTAAGATCAACTTGGTCTTATCCTTTAGATTCTGATGTAAACAAGAGAGAGAGAAAGAGAGAGAGAGAGAGAGAGAGAGAAAGCTACATTAATGTCTTAAGGTCACATGCTCCTTGCCCTAGGGTTAGGGTTTGGGTTAGGGTTAGCATTAAGGTACTCTCTCTCCCTTGCTTGCTTCAGGATCTTCAGAGTAACCCAACATGGGATTGTTTGTTCATTGTTGCTGTTCTGTATTTTTGCTAGTGGTATTTTTTTGTTTAAAGCAGTATATTTTTACATCTTGTTATAAAACCTCATTCATGGTTCTTGGCAGCAGCCAACCAGCCTGTTCTGTGGAGGAATGAATGTATCTGTTAATTTATGTTCAGACTGACAGTCTAATCCACATCATAAATGAGGTTTGATGATGACAGGTCCTTTATTATATCTACAGTCTAATATAAATACCCATAGTCCCTTGAAAGCATATAGAAACATTATAATCTCATATTCGCTATACAAGGACAGGTTACTGTGATTGAATACATCCGAACAACAACAATAATGTTTCCCCCCCCCCCCTCAAGTCACAAACAAATAGACACACGATAGACAAGCAAACAAACGAAAATTGGGTAGTGGTTTATGTGTAGATGAAGGGATACAAGGTATAAGACAAATATGTCTAGTTTCATGAACCAATTTGATAATTGAAAAGAATTCAACCTTCAAATATATTTAGCAAAATGGTTGGCCCAATAAAATGTTTCCCTTTTAGTAGACCTTTCACCTGGCATGTATGTGACGATCATATCTTGAAATGATGCCATGTGTAAATCTTATTATAGTTCAGGAGAGATGTAGCTGCCAATCCGTAACCTTCTTCACCCAGAGACATGCCAAAAAATAGATTGATTTGTGCGCTGACGTTTGACAGTGTATTACGATCCAAACTTTCACAGAAATCCATCACAACCTCCCAGAATGGGCTGAGAACTGTTTTTCCATATTCCCTACCTCAAAAAGCCTCCCAAGCAGGAAAAAAAAAATGAAGAATGCAATTTAATGCAGAAAGCACATGTGGGAGGAGATGTCTGTATCATGTTTGGTGATATGTTTCAGTTTTTATACACCATGTGTGAGTCATTTCCAGTTTTATCACATCACATTTTGTTTCTTCTGTACATCATCCAAACAACAAGTCAGGGACTACAGACAAGCAGTCCTAAAGAATTTAAATCCCATCACAGTCCCTTCATGTATGGGGGAGGGGGAGGGGGAGGGGGGGGGGCACACAAAAATCTCTGGATGATATTCCATTTGAATATAATATATGTGCATCACATCCCTCGTAATGATTACTTAAATTTTCTGCATTGTAGTGAGAGATTCAAAACTACGCTGTTGTATTTGCATGAAATTTGATTGAAGGTGAATGTGGTTGTGTATGATCATTGCAATTGTTGTGCTGTTCTCTTGTTTCATGTCTTGCTATGTGGATGCACGTTCACATCTCATGGGATTGAAGTTTGACATTCCTTGCATGGAGAGCTGATTTATTATTATTTGGATGGAATTGGATGAGAAAGCATGTATAACGTTTGTTGAAAGCATGAAAATTGTGTTTTTGATGTTGTTTATTTATTCATTTATTCATTTTTGTAAATTATTTGTTGTCTGTTGTTTGTTGCTCCATCAAAGATCACTTTGACAGAAGATTGTCCACCTGGCTGTTTCACTTAATGGCAAAATGCTGGAGTAATTGTTATTTCATTCAAGTTTGGTGGTCATTGCAATATGTATCTCTGATATTTTTTGTATTCTTTATTTTCATATTCATTACATTGTACATTACCCTTTATTATTTTGTCTATTAGGCATGATGGCCTGGACTTGCAAGAAATTATTTTGTTTTCCCCAGAAAGCTTGTTATACGACCTAAATCAATTGTTTGTGGTAGGGGGGGGGGGGGAACTATCAGAGTTTGTTAATGCTCTCACTAGACCTTACATTTAAGGTTAAAAAATGATATCAGGTGTACAAAAAATATAAAACTAGCTTTGCAGGTAAACCTAAACAAGCATAGGAATATACAGAATGTGTATAGCAAATGAGAACACAATTAGAAACATGTCCCAATGTAGCCAGAGCATAGACCTAGTAGAATTGTGTTTTTTTCTTTCTTCAGTTGGTTTTATAATAATGCGTTGAGTATGTGTAAACTGATAGCTAAGCATATGATTTTGAATACATTTGCAGGCCAAGAAGTACGGCAAGGCAGTAAGTTTATTCTTTTTTTCACCCCCTTTTTCCAGGTTTTATTGTGGATTATTTTGTTTTTCATGATATTTGCTAACTTGTTAGTTAACTCATCAAATCTGATTTAAAAGAATAAACTAACTCATTTTTTTAAAGTAAGAGGTTTTTAAAGTTTAACTGTTCAATTGCAGTTCCCCCAATGGTGTATTCCAAGATTGGTTTTGTGTTACCCCTCTCATTGAGATAGCATTTGTTGCATTAGTTGCATTATTTACTTCCCATTCCCTGTTGAATTTTAATGATTATCTGTTTGATTCCATGGAATATACTTAATTGTTTATTGGTAGCTTCCTCCCTATTTGATTTATTTTATTAATAGCATATTAGCATTAGAGTAATTTGTTGTGAATTCATTAGCCCTGGCTAGTCATTTCATTTAATTTTTATATAGTCTGTGTTTGAGACGATTTCAGTGAAATGGATTACTGTAGGACTACTGGTTTGAACTATCCTAGATGTAATACTAGATGCCTTTCTTGTACCAGTAATTAATGAGTAATATTCATGTTAGGGATTAAAATTAGATTTTTCATGTAATGAGTCTGGTGATTCTCTTAATTGCCATGCATGGATTATTCTGACCTTGCTGGCTGGACCCTTAATGAGTTGAAGCTAAGCCTATAAAGCAGCATATAGAGCTCTTTTAAAGTCCCACTTGGTACACCTTTATCCCCTCTTACCAAACCCCATTAATCTCTCGGACCAATACATAGAGCACACGCACATTCTTTAACAGGTGCTCTCCAGACTTGAGGTTGAAAACAATAGCTACTACCTCCTCGCCCCAAATTCAAGTTGACATTTCAAGGATACCCTAGAATTTGTCAAACTATTCATCATGAATTGGCAATTTCCTCGACGGTAATCTTTCTGCCATAAGAGGTGAAAAAGGTGCAACTTTGTCCTTCCGTGGAAAAAAATATAGCCAGGTGACACAATATAATAGATGTAGGCCTATGTTTATATGAAAAAATGTGAGGCGATTTTTCTATGTCCTAGGCTGCAAGAGGTATAGATTTAGAATTTTCTGCCGTGCCAAGTATCGTTGCTCAAATCTGGTCATCAAAATCGTAAATGGTTGACTC